AGATAAAGAAAAGTTGACATTTATTTTACGTTGCTGTTTTGGAAGTTCAAGACTGGACCAAATTTCAGCCACCTTAGGAGCTGATGTCACGATGTAAATAAGTTGTTTTTGTGTGTGTGTAAAATAGGTACATCTATTTCCCTATTTTTACCCTCTTTCCTATCCTTCCCCACCTCCCTCCTTCCTCTCCCTCCCTCTTTCTATCTATCTCTCCCATTCCCCCTTCCCCCTTGCCTCCATGTCGGGAACGCTATCCATTGTGCCTCTGCCCGTCTCCGACGTCGGACACTGATTGCCACCGCTCCCGACTCTCTGTTCAGGTGGACGAGGCAGACCGAGAGGAATGTCTGGCCATGATGCCGGTGGCGTTTTTCTTTCCGGCGGTCATGTCCGGCCTGGCTGCCATCCCCGCTCACACAGCCCTGTGTCGGCTGCGCTGAGGGGTCGGGGTCGACGCGACGCGGCAGCGGTGGCGACGTAAGACGAAGGTGACGACCGGTGATGAAGTTAGACGACGGCGACGACTGGGGACGAGTTTAGACAACGGCGGTGGTTGGTGATGTTGTTCGACGGACAGACGGCTGGTGATGACGTTAGACGAAGGCGACGGCTGGGGCTAGACGGACAGACAGCCGTTGACGAGGTCAGACACAGACGGCCGCTGATGATATGGGCGGCGCGGCTGGCGACGGAAGAATGATGACCGGGAGGCGGTGATCGCGTCCGGAGGACGGAACGAAGGAGTAGATGTACGAGCATGCGGAACTGGGTTCCGCAGTTCCGCTCGTAATCATGCGGAACTGGGTGTGTGATTTGTGGGCTCCAGATATTTGTTGGGTGTCGGATGAGTTGGGTGGTGACAGGAGCAGGTCAGGGGTTCTGGATTTCCGTGGGTGTTCACAATGTGATCGCACTCTGCGGCGGCTGTCTGTTCGAATGCTGGTGCCAGAGTTGAAAGCTTGTCCGATCTGTCCGAGCTTTGTGCCTTATGTGGTGACATTTGTTCTGCCGTCCATATCAGGCCTGGGCTAATGATCACAAACCATTTCCGGTACTTGGAGTGCCTTGGATGTTTGCTTTTTGCTGTCACTTATAAGCGTCAGTACTCAGTGCCTATCGTTCCGAAATTATCAGACTGTACCGGTGAATAGTGAGTTGGCCATTTCAGTATCGTGCAGGTCATTGTATGCCCACAATTCTCTCGTCGAGAAATTAAATACACCTGCCTTTAAAGAGAATCATCAACATCAGGTGTCATCCATCACTGTTAAACGGAGGAGCTGGTACTGCTTCCATGCAGAGTGTTCAAAGTGCTTTTCATTAAACTCCAGATTCTCACGTCTCCTGAAGCATGGCGACATGTCATCATTTTCAATGTTGCACGGCCTTTACCATGGCACTGGCTATATACGGCCTTGGGCACTGGTAGTTGATACTGATGCACCAAACGCACTGGGGGTGTGTAGACGTGACTGTGTTTGCTTGCTTTTTAACACATGTGCACAGGGGTGCGAATGTATATGGCTGTCATATTTCACACCCGTTTGATTGCTTGTGATTCAATGGAACATTGATTACACGCCTGCAATACATGTGCATTTATTGTGCAACCTTGTGTTTTTACATGACAGAGAAGGGCACAAGGGTTCTACATACATACATACATATAGGGCAGCTAGAGTCGAGGCCACTCAACCACTTGCATCTTTTCTCAAATCCAGAATTTCTAACCTAATTTCAAACGCACCAGCGAAACTATGAGGATGCTGGTTATAAATAAGAAAAAGAACCTGCATAGCTAGGTACTCTTAGGTCAGTGGACACTAGCACTATACATTACCAGGGCCATTGCAACCTCTCGACATTGTTGCGAAGAGACTAAAAAGGGTTGTCACTTTATGCGCTGTGAGCCATCCTCTTCTATCATACCTTTATCTTTGTTTCTTTTATCAAGCTAATGAAAAGCATTCGCAGTTGGCTTTGAAGCAAAGTGCAGCACTTGTCGCAAGAACTCCGATTTAATATTGTCACTTAAGGATCTGATTTGATTTGTAACTTTCAGCATAGGATAATTACCAAATGGGATTTTATATTTGATTGGCCAAAATCTAAAAATGACTTAAATTGAATGCCTGGCACGAAAACATAGTAGCGTTATAAACAGGGGTACGGAGCCGGAGCCGGAGCTGAAGCCGGAGCCGCCGGAGCCACCGGCGCCGGCACATTTTGCCCGGAGCCGGAGTCGGAGCCGGAGCCGCCATGACATTTCACCCGGAGCCGGAGCCGATTTTTTTTTCTCCGAAGCCGGAGCCGGAGACGGAGCTGTCTGAAATTTCCACGACTCCGCATCCCTGGTTATAAATTCGCTATACCGTAGGGAGGGAGTCATTCACTTGCAATACTGTTGATAGTAGCCGTTTGCACAATGGCTATCTGGCACACATTTGGCTCAGATTTGGTGCAGATTTAATGCAAATTTGATCAAATTAGGTTCATTGTCCTTCTTAAAAGTTATCATTTTGTGTTTTACAGTTGCTTATATACCCGACTTTTCACATTATCAGACATGATTTTCGATTAAAACAATGAAATAAATTCTTGTCATGAAGATATTTGCTCTAAAAGAAGTGGTGCAGATTTGGTCAAGCTCGGTGCATTCGCCAGATAACCCGTCATGAAAACGGCTATTCTGTTCAATCCATGGACAGCTGCTCCATTCCAATAAAACCTCTTGTAAACATCGCCACCTCTCAATGTGACTTGCATCATGTTCAGCATGGATTATTCAGTCCTGAATGCTCGTCGCGGCACGGCACCAGTGTCCGCACAGGTCCATCGGAAGGGGCTGTCTCTGGGGGACGAATGGTATCCGGCCCTGACCACCGGTACGTACCGTTCTGTTCGTCTGTCGGCGACAGTCTGTCTGTCGGCGAGACGATCTGTATGTGACAGTCTGTCTGCGTTCGATGGGCTGATTATGGGGAACCGATCGACATACCGGGAATTCGGAGGGCTCCCTCAGCAGCTGTCATGGAAGAGAGAATGAGGGAGAGAGAGAGAGAGAGAGAGAGAGAGAGAGAGAGAGAGAGAGAGAGAGAGAGAGAGAGAGAGAGAGAGAGAGAGAGAGAGAGAGAGAGAGAGGGAAGGAAGAAAAGGAAAAAAAAACGAAGGAGAGTGAATAAAACATGCACGCCGTGGCCCCGGCCATTTATGTAGTTTTGCAGAAGTCTCTCAAGTTTGTAGAAATGGTCACTGGTTCCCAAATGAAGTGGTCAGGTGAGTAATAACGTTTGCGGGTAGCGTACCCATTGCACAGACCAACTTCATGTGTTTGTAGCATTGCAGTCAGTAAAAATGACCTCATTTTATATAGTACTAAAAAACTACATGACTCAAACAATAGCCACCCTCGAAATTTGTAATGATCACAGTGACAGAGTTAGACATAAAGTTTTACGTCAGTGAGGCAAAAGGAAGCCTGCGCCTTGTCATACAATTCTATCGCCTCTTTTTCTGCATTCGCATTCGGGATCATTCTAACCTTGGAGGTGTTTTTTATTCATGCTTACCCACGGGACGTGCAGAAAAGCGACTTACTTGGTATGCATTATCCTACATTGGATGTGCCTCAGGGCGACGTGGGACCTACGCTCCTATATCCCGTAATGGTCTGCCAGTCCCGCGCACAATACACGTGTCGTATACCAATCATTTTGTAGTCAAATGCTACTGCCACTATTTACGAGTATGGTGTTGCATGCTTCAAACTACATGACGCGATTAATTTTGTGGATGTATATTCAGTTAGAGTGAAATCAGAATTATTTTCTTACGTAATGCTTCAGCAATGACATTTATGTAAAAATTTAACTCGGAGCAGGGCATATTTTAAGGATTTTTTACTGCGTCCCAAAGGTGTCATAGGGCACATGCTTCCATCGGAAAGGGCACATTGCAAGCGAAATAGTAGGTATATAATGCAAGTGAGATAATGTACAGACAGATACATGTGTCATTGTGTACTGTGCTGGTGAAGGGCAGCAAGCGGGATATTGGGAGCGGGTAATTGCTTTTGGCCAGTATCGAAATTCTTAATTGTGGGACGCAGTGGTCCAAATTTCGCGAGGGCTACGTCCCAAAGGCAGGGGGCTGCGTCCCAAAATGGGACGCAGTCAGTGTGTTAAAATATGCCCTGACTCGGAGTGAAACCATTTTACAACTAAGCATGCTCCAAATATGTATTCCATTTTCGGCACTTTTGCATGAGAAAATCGTTACGATTTTTGCTTCTTTATCAGCACTTCTTTTCATGTTATTGAACTGAAAAGCAAATATTTCACATCCACTTTCTTGATTGTCTGGACTAGACAGAAAACATCAGCAAGGCTTCTCCGACCTCCCGTCGAGACATTCTTGCAAATTAATTCTTCCTAGAACTCATGGAGGCAAGCAGCCATTGGACCATCTTGCCTCTTGTGCTGTTTCGCTGCATCGTTACCTTTATCGGTCTCTCATCTGGCGGCGTATATCCTGTCCGTGGGGCTCTCAGCCAGACGGGACAGGGTGGCTCCGATCCCACCGGAAACCTCCCGGGGCGCAGCCGCAGCCGACACGGAGCTGGGCCAGCCCGGGAGCGCGCAGTGCCGCGCCGGCTCGCCGGTCGGCCGGACCTCTGACAGCGCCTGGGGGTATACGGTGTCACCGATAGCGCCTCTAGATAGGCCGTGCCGCTCGACAGCGTGTAATAGCTTACGCCGCTCTACTGCGCCTGGAGGTAGGCTGTGCCGCTCGGCAGCGCCTGAAGGCAGACTGTGCCGCTCGACAGCGCCTGAAGGTAGACTGCGCCGTATAACAGCCTTTGAAGTTAGACTGTGCTTCACGACAGCCGTGTGCCCGCACCGCCCGAAAACGCCTGAAGGTAGACTGTGTCGCAAAACAACGCCTGTGAGGTAGACTGTGCCGCACAACGGCCCCTGAAGGTAGACTGTGCCGCACAACGGCCCCTGAAGGTAGACTGCGCCGCTGCACAGCGAGTTGCGTTTCAGCAGCTTACTTGCAGGAAAAATATACACATTATTGACCCTGAAGGAATAATCAAGGGTTCGGCGTCTGGGAGTGCATATTTAGGTCGTTATACCTGTTGATGATACCGTCACACGGCACAAGCGGAAGAATGCGCCGGCGAGGGCGGCCGGACGGGCACCCGGTGCTGGTCTCCATAGCAGCGGCGATTGCTCTACTGGTCACACCTCGTGCTGCTCAAGGAGCAAGGTAAGAGTTATTCTGCCCTCTAATTATTTAACACTAAAATGGCCTACATTTTTGTCTTACTAAACGTGAATAAGTTATGATCCACAGTCCACACTTATACCAGCCGTCATTAACAGCACTTGGGAATATGTATACTCGCACGCATATAAATGATAGGTTGTGATGCAAAACATGAATAAAACGCAAGTTTAAATTGTATACTCGCGAATGGATTTTCAACATATACAGGGTGGGGCAGCATAATCGGGAATGCTTTTTGGGCTCTGATCATGAGTAGGCATGGCATTATTTTTATAAATTATATTATGGCAATGAAACGCCCAAAAGTTGTGCATCATCTGACATGACTACATCCATGAGCATGCAACTTCCTGGAAAAGAGCAGCAAAATAGTTCGACGGTGCTCCAAGTGCTTTGCGCGCGCCCATAGACACTAATGTTAAACAAGTAAAACAAGAACATTTTGTTTAAAACCCTGCAATTCCACGTAAAGGTTGCTGGGCAGGTCAACGTGTTATCACGGACGATAAGGATTGTGTGGGGATACTTAGGACAACAGGTTAACGTAATCGTCGTAAAATAACTCTTAGCAGAGGACATACAAGATGACTCACTTGAATATAAGGAAGAAGCACTTGAGCATATTAAAAAGAAACAATGTTCAAAACTTCAGCGACAAAAAATCTTATCACCGACTGGAATACGATAAAAAAGAATGGCATGCCATATAGGGGATTGTATCGAGAATATTCCAGCGGTCATGCAAAGTAAACATCCTGTTGGGGTGATGGACCTATGGGTGGTCTTCAAGGGAGGTGCACGTGGTGCACCCTACTTCATCGAGCCCGGATAAAATGAGCACCTCTGGTAAATACAACCGCACTCTGGCAGACTCACGTGGAGCCGTCGGAAGAGAGGATCACTGACGGTCCAAATCACGTCTTACGAGGACTCTGTCCGTGCTGGTACTGCAGTGAGGACGACATGTTATTGTGTAGGGCACCTCCACCTGAGATGAACCAAAAACTTCTGGTCCTTCAACTCCGCCGATTTAAATCCGACCAAATTCTTTACATGGAGCGTTTTTTGGTAGAAGTTTAATGAACAACTTATCATCAGTAAAAACAGTCTTCAGTGCAAGGTACGAAGCTGATGGGCGATCATGGACAAGCAGGAGGTTGCACGTGCATGCGCGTGCTTTTGGACCCGCCTTGAGAAGGTCATCGACGCCGAGGGCGGTCAAATAGGATGAGGGATAGGTAAAAGGTGACCGATTGATAGGATGTTGCTAAAATAGTGCTTGGAGCTATATTTTTAGATTCATGACCAAATAATCCCGTTTGATATTTATTCCCGATTATGCTGCCCCACCCTGTACGCACAAATAGTGTGTGCTTTGCCTTCTTACCCGGGAACTGAAACAAACCCAGAAGAAGGGCAATTAGCTACACAATTCGCCTACTAATTCGCCTAATTATTGAAGTCTGTTATTTACGGCATATTGCAATATGTACATTGGATTATCAGGATAGGATTATGGAATGGACATCTAACCATTCATGCATCAGACACGTTGAGAAATATAACACAAAAACCTTCGATATGCGCTATAATTTTGGATATATGCTTACTAACTACTTACTTCCTTGTTCTTTCGTTTTAAATGAAACACAAACGTTGTTCCACTTATCTGCGATTGTCGGTAGAAAGCAAGCCTCACGAAATTTTCCAGAGATATCTAAGAATGACCTAAAGACATCTGAAATCAAGCCGTCAGTACAATATAGTACAAACCACAAAGCGATGTTAGAAATATGGGCTCCTGATATTGGACAGACCGCAAACTCTAGACAAAATCTATGGCCCTGCTGAGTGATTTACATTTAATTGAATCTCTAGCAAGGCTTTTATTGGCCTTCTGTGAAATGTCGGACCTGAAAAATATGTCGGACCTCGGTGGTTGCGGGAATGCCGAAACTTGGGTTTGAGATATGAGCTCATTGTTGGTCAACACAACAACTAAAAAAAAAAAACATAGATCACTCAAGAAAGAAACATGACAGGCGCTACTGCGATATGAAAACATTTTTATCGATTCAAATTGCGAACAAAGCTTTCCTGAAGTATACAGTGATGAAATTTATGCGGAAAGCGTCCCCTGGTGCGTTGTCGAATGTTTGGTGAACAATACTTTTGTCCGTGTCGATGCGCACCCATTTAACCCGGAAAGCGGTGGGCCCCCCGGCCACCTTCCGCGCGTTGGGGGAGGGGGGAAATTTTTTGACCCCCTCGTATCTTCGAAACTATTGGACGGATCCGGAAAATTCAAACGGCGTTCGATAGCCCTGTCAAATGTGTTGAGGGAACTCGAATTTTATTGACATCAGGGTCACCGATGACGTCACAGGTCAGGTCAAAGATAAAATGTTTCGCCGTTCACGCGTCTTCTAGGGAATGCGCTATAACATCGAGTAAAACGCATTTTGTCGAAAATCAACGATAGGGCGTAAGTTGCCTAGTACATATGTTGCTATTGGAGATCACTGACAATACCAGGCCAGGTCAGGTCACCAAAGGTGAGCACATGAACCCAACTTTACTAGGGTTGTGCGATGCATGTTTTATGGCCAATTTTTCATTTCCAGCTTAATGGTGCTGGTTATTAGACCATCAGGTACGGTTTAGGTCACTTTCTGGTGGAGGTCAGGTCAATGTCGGGTCAAAAAAGGTCAAATTTCAAAGTTGATAGTTTTGCATAAATAGGTATTGAATCGAGGCAGCTCGTCACGGCGAGTCTAATGGCGGTCTTTGTTTTGCGCTACGTGGTCTAGAATTGCTAAAAATGGAGTTTGAAAAGTTGACGTCATCAATTTTGAACATTTTTTTTTCGCTATAACTTACCAAAAAAAGAGGTATCGATCTCAAAGTTGGCATTGGGATAGAAGGCGGTAGGGGCTATCACATATATTCCGCTCTCTCGAAATACAAAAACTTTTGGAATTTTACCTATTATATTCAAGTAATAACTTTTTTGATTTTTTGGGGTCAAAACCCCCCAAAAATATAAAAATCTGAGACATTATTTTTGTAGCCCTGTTAATTCTACACCTTTTATGTCCAAAACATTTCTCTGTATCTCTAAAGCTGTAGGCCTGACGCCTGACGGCTCTTCCCGCGAAACTTTTTTTTGGGTCGAAAGTTACTCGGAGTTACTCGGAGGGGGGATGTTAAGCCCCCCATTTTTTTTTCTCGCCGCACTGTACAAAAAAAGACGCGCTGCATGCAGGCACGTCAAATATTGGCTACCTCTGACAACAGACTACTGCATTACTGATATGGAGATTGGAGACTACAGACTGATGACATGGAGTAGTCTATGCTGTGACAAATTGGTGAAGGTTTTCTATAATATCAAATATGAAAAAAGTACAAACAAAAATCTTTCGGATTTTCTTTTCTGAGAGTTCAAGTTTTTTAGTGACGTCAGGATTTCGTAGTTTTCGACCAAAAGTGGTAGATGTTTAAAGAAACATACAATACCACAGAACCGAAGGACAGACATACCGTAAACGTCATTAGACTTCAAATGCTATACTCATTACTCAATCAAATGGCTATCTGAGACTTACATAATCGCAGAAAGAGTAGTGAGTGAGAGAGAGAGAGAGAGAGAGAGAGAGAGAGAGAGAGAGAGAGAGAGAGAGAGAGAGAGAGAGAGAGAGAGAGAGAGAGAGAGAGAGAGAGAGAGAGAGAGAGAGAGAGAGAGAGAGAGAGAGAGAGAGAGAGAGAGAGAGAGAGAGAGAGAGAGAGAGAGAGAGAGAGAGAGAGAGAGAAAGGGAGAGGGAGAGAGACCGTCTGGGTGTAGACGAGAACATTTTAATGGACTCTGACTGTATCCAATTACAATTCGAAACTGCAACACGCTCCATGAAGTTGTGGTGCTGTGGGGCAGTTCACCACATATCAGTGACTGGATTTTACGTTAATCAGAAATGGAGAATATCAACCTGGTGCGTGTTCCAAAAATTCAATCAGTTCGATCCAAACGGCCCCAAGTAAAAGAATTAATTAAAAGAGCGGGTTGTTATATTTAAATTACCAAAACGAAGTCAAAAACCAAAACAGCGAATCAGACAATGGAGCGACGAAGAGACGAGAATGAAATCCAAGTTTGCCAAATATGCCCTGCCTAATCTAAGTTATAAATCCCGGACAGAACGGGCCAAATCGCGGAGCCAGACGTGACGCGTCTGCTCGGGCCAAGAGCTCGGCCAGAAGTCCCGGGGAAGCGCGCGGCCCGACGCAGCGGGCCGGGCCCAGACATGCGCAGAAGCACTCGGACACCACGTGGCTGCCGATCGGAGCGCGGATTGGTCACTGGCCGACGCACTGCGGCAGCGCAGGCCGCAGACACGCGGTCGCATCGTGATGGGACAAAGTTCACGAACAGACACGTCCTGGGCCGCCTCCCCAGCGCCGGGGCGGGGTAGCGACGTCACAAGTCGGCGCGCGAATCGGTCTGCGCCGGGAACTCCCGTGCCGGCCGGCGACACACGTGGTTACCACAGTACTCACCGCCTCAGCGCGGAGCGCATACACGATAAGCCAAAACAATCACTTTTCACATCACTCGGTGCGCGACGCGATCGACACTTCACTGCGCGACGCAATAATCACTACACGGTACGGCGCAACGCAATTGTCACTGCACGGTCCTGCGCGACGCAAGAATCACTACACCGCGCGACGCAGTTATCACTTCACTGTCGGCGCCACGCGATCAGGATCGTCCTCGAACGCACGTACGCGGGCGCACTCAAAAGTATCGGAAGTCCGGTTGCGGCCGGAACTGCACGCGGCGGCCGCTGCGGGTGTGCACCGGCGCAGCCGCGGACGGCTTGTCGTCCTTGGCCGGCGATGTGGAACACGTCACTCCAGATCTTGAAGTCCTCTTGCTGGACGGTCTTGTAGTCGTCGGCGTCTGTGTCGGCTCGTCGGGC